AAAAGAGGGGGGGGGGGGGGGGGGAAATGACATTTCACAAAGTGAGAATTTTGTACAGTTAAAATGGACAACAACAACAGGGATCTAGTAAATGTCTGGATTAAAGTTTGCAAAAGTATACTTGAAGGAACTTCATTTTGCAAGCTTAAGCTTTAAAAAGCCAAACACAGTTGAACAAAATCACTGAGTGTAGTGAGACAAACATACATTCAAGGCAAACACAGCCTTATTTTTCAATGCAACTAAACATGAAAACCCAATTCTTTTTTACTTATTATTTACTCTTTAGAGCAACTTAACCAGCACAAGCAATTCATTTTTTCTTTTACTCCTTGATATCTATAAAGCCAAGAAATCCCAAAATCAGAGTAGATTCTTTAAAACTCAGGAGCAAGAATTTTACTGAGAAGCTCATAAGCACTATTTACTGTATATAGAGTATGTTTGGATACAAATTTAGAAGCACTTTTGAAAGTTTCTCTGTTGAAAAATATTCCTTATTTTCAGTAGAAAAATTATCAAACACTTTTAGCTTGTATTCAAACATGCTCTTAGAGTATCACATAATTGCAATTCCTTAAATCCATAAGTTTTGTCGTTTCCCAGTTTCAACAAAAACAAAACAGAAGTGCAATGAGACTGCCCAATAATAGCTTGGTTCAAGTCAAAGACCAAAGTGTGTAAGTAACAGAGAACCGAATCCTAGAAGCCTAACTTGAGAATTCGAAATTTGAAACTTCAATAGATGCACCTTCTCAGATCCAAAAAGATGCAAACACATTCGTAAAACAAGGAAACTCAAACTAGTTTAGGCCATGTTTGAGTAAACCTTTTAATTAATAATCAATAAGAGACGAAGATAAGAAGATAAAGAGGTTGTTTGGATAAAATTCTTCTTAAGCACTTTTAGAAGAAAAAATATAGAAACAAAAGATGCAAAAAAAAAAATATAAGCTAAAACTGGCTTATGCAAGTTAAAATTAAGTTTTTGGAGAAACTAAATATAAGAGAACTTCTCCAAATTAGTTTTTACATTGGATGTCTAAAATCACTTTTAAGAAAGAAAAATGACATATGCTACTCCACTAGCTAAAATTAACTTATACATAAGTTAATTTATATAAACTCTTTGCTATTAGCATTTCTAAAATCTTAATTTTAAGTTATGCGAAAGTGCTTATTTCATTTTTGTCTCTATATTGTGCTTGAGAAGAATTTGATCTCAACAGACCCATAAGCTAATACATAAACAAGTGAGAAGAAGGCTAATTGATTTGTGGTCTCCTAAAGTGGTTTTGTGAATAAAGAGAGCATGGAGAATTGAAGAGGGAATTACCATAGTGTTGTCCAACGTGCCAACGAGAATGAACTTGGCGTTGGGGGAAAACTTGACAAAGGAAACGGGAGGGTTCTCGTCGTCGATGAGGGTCTTCATGCAGTGGCCGGTGGAGGCGTCCCAGATGCGACAGAGGCCGTCGTAGCTGCTGGAGACGATGAGGGAGCCGTCACGGTTGAAGTCGACGGCGGTGACGGGGTCGGAGTGGGCGGGGAGGACCTTAAGGCACTTGCCGGACTTAACGTCCCAAACCCTAACGGTCTCGTCGAAGGAGCCAGAGACGATGACGTTGGACTGGGGGTTGAAGTTGACGCAGAAGACGTAGTTGGTGTGGCCCTGGAGCGTCTTGATCAGGGACCCCGTGGGAACGTCCCAGAGGCGGAGGGTCTTGTCGTCCGAGGCGGAGACCAGGAACCGGGAGTCCGAGGAGAAGGCCAGGTCCGAGACGCCCTGCTCGTGCCCGGAGTACTCCTGCATCGGGGACAGGGAGAGGCTGTCCGAGTCCGAGTCCGAGTTCGTGAACCCGTACGTCCGGAGAGTCTTGTCGGCCGAGGACGAGGCCAGGAGCCGCCCGTTCGAGGAGAATTTCACGGCGGAGATTGCTCGCTTGTGCCCGCTTAGGGTTTGGGATAGCCTGTAGGGTTTGAAGGACTCTGAATCCGACGACATTTTTTCTCTCCCAGAGGATTTCCACCTTCTTTTTTATTTACTGCACTTATATATATCTCCTATTTCAATTATTTTTTTATATATAAGACCTAAGACCTATAATATAATATTTGTTAAATTATTTTTAATTAAATTGACCCCTAAACGCAACGATGCAAATTGTGGCGGAATGATTCTGTTTGACGCCCTGAGGCGGAGGCTGAGACCTCTTGTCTACCTCACCACTCTGTCACCATTACCAAACCCCAAATGCATGCTCTTCTTCTCAACGGATCCCGAATCCTTCACCATTTCCTACCTCACCCACTCCTGCGGATTCTCCCCCGACGCCGCCCTTAAGGCCTCCAGACGCCTCCGTCTGCACTCCCCCCACAAGCCCGACGCCGTCATCTCCTTCTTCCGCTCGCACGGCTTCTCCCCTTCCCAAATCAGCCGCGTCTTGACCCGCGCCCCCGACCTCATCACCTGCAACCCCACCCTCCGGCTTCTCCCCAAGTTCGACTTCCTCTCCTCCAAAGGCGCCTCCCCCGAAGACATCATCCTCATCGTCACCAAGAGCCCCCGCATCCTCCGCTACAGCCTCCGCAACTACATCACCCCCTCCTTCCACCTCCTCCGAACTTTCTGCCACTCCGATCGCAAAGTCCTCTCCGTCCTCCTCGCCTGCCCCAACTTCATCGGCGACTACCGCGTCTCCTCCAACATCAACACTCTCCAACTCGCCGGAGTCACGCCTTCCGCCATTCGCTACCTTCTCTCCACCAGACCCTCCGTCCTCTGCTCCGATTTGAAAAACGTAATCCAGGAAGTCAACCAATTAGGCTTTGACCCTTCCAAAGTCAGCTTCACTGTCGCCTTGCTCGCCAAAAGGGCTATCTCCAAACCCCTCTGGGACGCCAAAGTTGACGCCTTTAAGAGATGGGGTTGGTCTGAGGACGAGGTTTTCGCTGCCTTTAAGAATCAGCCCAGCGTCATGCTGCGATCCATGGAGAAGCTCAATGCGGTTTTGGGGTTTTGGGTGGGTCGACTTGGCTGGGACCATTCCGCGCTTGTTGCGTCGCCCACGCTGTTTGCGTATAGTTTGGAGAAAAGGGTTATTCCCAGGGCTTTGGTTGTGCAGCATCTTATGTCCAAAGGTTTGTTGAAGAAGGGTGCTAGCTTGGTTACACCGTTTTCCATGCTTGATGAGGCCTTCCTGCAAAAGTATGTGAAATGTTTCAAGGAGGAAACATCCACACTTCTAGAGCTGTATCGGGGGAAGGGAACTTGCTAGCATCAGCTTGTTCGTTTCTTATGTTAGTTCATCTCTAACTAGTTTCTGCTAGCTTGAGTCTAATGTTTTATTTGCTTATTTAACCTTTTTAGATTAGGTCAAAATTTGGATCTATAGGAGTAAATTGATATTTTATACATGATTGATCCAAGTGGTTTTAATAGTTGGAGAATGCCATTGCAAGTAACATTGATATTCTATTCCAAAGAGGTCGATGGATTCATGGCTTGCATTTTCAGGAATTCTGGGATTGGGATGTTGCTTGAATTTCGACCATTCTTTTTACCTGTTGGACTCGAGAGCAAGAGGGTATTCAAATCAAATCACATTTACAATGTGCTGGCAATTCAATCTCAGTCGGCGGAGTAGATATGATGAGATGTGAGAAATACTTGTTTGGCCTAGGGTAACTTGGGTCATTGAATAGTTAGTCTGATTATTTGTATGCAAATTTTGTTGTGAAAGCTTTTGAATAGTTAGTCTTTCTTTTTGTCATGAATTTGAAGAAGGGTTAGTCTTCTTACCTGGCAGCTGGTCTTTAGATTGCTTTGTGTGGAACAAGAAGATAATGTGAATCATGTTGTTTTGTTTCATTCAATTACTATTTGATCTTACTATATGTTACATTGTATGGGATGAATAGTTTTCTTTTTATCCCTAGTCACATCTAGGTACGTACAAGTTAGTGAAGTTGAGAAAAATGGTTCAATCCAGTCTTTTGTTTGGAGAATTGTTGCAAGTTTAGCATCATGTTTTACGGTAGCAAAATATTAATGACCGGTGAACCCCTCTCCAATATCTCTATTTCTTTTTAATTTTTATCATGTCATATTTCCTATACCTATACTTCTCTCTCACGAGATGTCATTGAGTGAGTATCCACAAATGATTTTTCATAGCAAAATGAGCAGATATGTCGAAAGACCTTCAGGTAACAGTTACTGAACGAGTTTGTACATACTATGCATAAAAAAGTTGAAATTATTGATTGTTTCTTGGAATTTGGGGATTAGTTGAGCGTTGCCCTTGTCATTATGTGTTCTTGTTGCTGTTCTTAGTTTTTCTATGTATCTAGTTCCCTCTGAATTGTTCTCACTTCTCAAGTTATTTTTGCTTCAAAGAAATTGTTCCCTATTATGCGGTGTAAGCAGTATTCCGGTGAGATTGTGACTTTCTGCGACCTTCAACCTACATTACAATGAGTCAAGCATAACACTATGAAAGGGAGACAGAAACTTTGTTTTCCACTGAATCACACAGATACCCTGTACAGTCAACGGGTCTATAAAATATTGTTCTACCTTTTTGTTTTTTTAAGTCACCATATCCTTGGTGTAAAATATCACCAACACTATCTCCGATAAGAAGCCTGATTTTCCATTTTTTAGCGATATTTTTTTTAATTATAATTTTTCTACGTTACAATGTTCTACCTTGTTTGCATTTCTTTGGTCATTTTTTTATCCAGCAAATCATGTAAAGCATTCTTCAAGCTAAAAATACAAGTTTGAACAAATGAATGGAAAAGTTTAATGTCAACCCAAAGTGGGTATAATTAATAAGAGAACTTTTGATTTGATTGTGCAAAGACCTATTATTAAATTAGTCTTTAAAATATTTATTTGAAAGATATAAATTATCATAGTTTTTTTTTAAATTGTCATTGAATTAGTCTTTTAGATATTTGATTATTAAATTAGTCTATTAAAAAATTAAAATGACATGTGCACTCAAAAAATTTGATTTAAATGACATCATATCAATTTTTATGGAAAATTGAAATAACGAGAACTCAAATATTTAAGTTTTTAAAAGAATGTTTTGAAGAGTTTATGCGAAGTTTATTTGAACATATGAAAATAATTTTTGAATTTTATAATAATATGTTTGATAAGATATTTAAGAAGATTATAATTTTTTTTTATTAATTTATAAAATAAATTTATTTTGTATGCGAAATTATTATAAAAATTTATAATTTATTTTTATAAATTAATTGAAGTAGTTTAGCTTATAAAGTATTTTTTTTCCTTCTTTTCTTTATTATTATTATTATTATTATTATTATTAATTTACATTTTTCTTATTCTTTTTAATTTAGAAATTATTTTGACTTTATGTTAATGTTTTTCTCTTTATTAAATAAATATGTCATTTTATATTAATCAACTAATCTTACAAAATACTTTCAAATATTAATTTTGATGGATGCAAATAGATAAGCTTTCAAAGATACATTTATACTTGCATCTAAACACATTCATCGTTTATTTTATACTTTTTGGGCCTAGGACAACTTGGTCAAGGATACTACCACTTGTTTGGTCTATTATATGTATTTATGAATATCTTAGGATATTTTATCAAATAAAAATAAAAGTAAAAAATAAAAATAAATAATTTTAAAACATATTATATTTATAATTTACAAGTAGATCAGACACTTCCTATTTTTATAATGGTTGTTATTACAATTTTTATAACCTTTAATAATTGTTTATAACAACTGAGACGTGATATGAAAAGTGATTATTTTAAACTTTGAAATTAAAAAAAATTGAACATATTTTTCGTAAAACAATAAAAGATAAAAAGGAAAAAAATGAAATGTATACACTAAAGTGTGATATTGACTTTATTTATTGATATAAATAATAAAAAAACAAATAATTTAAAATGTATATTTATCTCGATAGTAAATAAGAGAATTGAGTGGATGAGTTCAATGAAATTTTTTTTCTTTAACATCATTGTCTTAAACTTTCACTTTCAACTACATTAGTTTGGTTTATAGGTAAGGAAATTCTGATTAAGCATTATTTTTGAAAAAAAAAATTAAACATAAACATAGATAGAATAGAAGACGTTACCCACTCGTTTTGATGGAGATGAATTTGTATAGACCCGATAAATTGAGGTTAGGAATTAGGTTATTAATCTGGTAGTGCAGTTCTTCAAGCCGTCAGCACCCTCCTCTCTGAAAATCAAATTCCACTTCTTACCCACATTCTGCCTTTTCCCTTGTCGAAACCCCAATTTCGTTCCGTGCTTCAATTGGATCCTCATGTTGAAACTTCACGCCCACAGAACTATTGTTTGCGCCAAGGCCTTCACATTCACAACCCTAAAACGGTTTCCTATCGTGCAACATCAAATTTTCAAATTCGACTTCTGCACCACCACCTCGCACCCACATTCTTTCGCGGTGTCATACCTCGTCAACAACTGTGGCTTCTCCCTAGAAAACGCTCTCAAAGCTTCTCCCAAGCTCAGATTCCGCGACCCCCAAAAGCCCGATTCAGTTTTCTGCTTCTTCCGAAGCCACGGCTTCTCCGACTCTCAAATATGCATTATCCTCCAAAAAGAACTCCAGTTTCTTTCCTGCAAACCCCAAAAGGTACTGTTGCCAAAGTTCGAGTTTTTACGTTCCAAAGGTGCTTCTTCCCTTGACATTGTTCGCATGGTCACCGCCAACCCTTCATTCCTTAAAAGAAGCTTGGAGAATCATATAATCCCAGCATATGAATTTGTTAGAGGGATCATCCAATCTGACAAGCAAATCATTGATTTTCTGATTCAAAATTCTTATTTCCTTTTTGATCCTCGAGTGGCACCTAACGTCAAATTGTTGCTTGATTTTGGAGTTACCCACTCGCAAATTCATATTTTGCTCAAGAGACGGCCTCTTGTACTCTGCTCTTCTAAATTGTTAGAGACGGTTCAGGAATTGAAGCAAATGGGCTTCGATGTTTCAAAGTCAACTTTCTGCATAGCATTGCTTGCCAAAAGGACTGTAAACAAAGCCAAATGGGAGGAGAAGGTTGACACTTTTAAGAAGTGGGGTTGGTCACAAGAACAAATTCTTGTAGCATTTAGGAGTCAGCCTTATATTATGTTGTCATCCCTTGATAAAATTAATGCAGTGTTTAGTTTTTGGGTGGAGCAGGCAGGTTTCAAATCTCTGGATCTTGTCAGAGCTCCAGGGATTTTTCTACTGAGTCTCCAGAAGAGGATTGCTCCAAGGGCTTCAGTTTTGCAGTTTCTTACCTCAAAAGGTCTGCTACAAAAGGATGCAAGTCTAAGTAGACCATTTATTCTGACTGAGAAGTTGTTCCTGGAAAAGTATGTGATACGTTTTAAGGGAGTTTCTTCTCATCTGTTAAAGCTGTACGAGGATAAAATGAGTCTTGAAAATGATAGGAACAACACTTGTACGTAGCCTTCATCAAGCATGCAACTTTTTAATCAATTTATGGTGCAAATCAACCACCTTGTTTTATGTATCTTTTTTTATATACTTGACCTGTCTACCGAAACTCGCATGCTAACTTGTCTTCGAGATTTGATGAAGGACCTTGGTTACACCGTTTTTTTGTGTCTGACGATGTGTTCCTGCAAAAGTATGCGAAATGTTTCTTGGAGGAAACATCCATGCTACTAGATTTATCAGGGGCAGGAAACTTGCTAGCATCTGCTTGTTAGTTTATCATGTTAACTCATCTCTAACTCTAACTAGTATCTCTTTTACTCCTGGTCCTGGATAACGTCGGATTTCTGCTAGTTTGAGTGTAATGTTTTATTTGCTTATTTGTAACCTTTTTAGATTAGGTCACAATTGGGATCTGTATGAGTAAACGTTTGACTATTTGTATGTAAATTTTGTTACGGGAAAGCTCTTGAATACGCTACATGGTATACCTTCTAGTTTTTCTTTTTCCAAATGAGCACTTTTTTTGGTCATGAATTTGAAGAAAGGTTAGACTTCTTACCTGGCAGTTGGATTTTAGATTGCTTTGCGTGGAACGAGAAGATGATGTGAATCTTGTTTCATTCAATTACTACTTCATCTTACTAAAAGTTACACTATATGGGGTGAATAGTTTGTTTCCCCCTAATCAAATCTATAGGTAGGTACAAGTTAGTGAAGGAGTTCACACTTATGACGAGTGTTAGCTATGCAAATACCACAATAATAGTAGTCATTTTTCATTTTATTTTAAGTATGTGACGATCCGTAATGATTTCTACATTTATCTATTCAACTACAAACAGTGAAAAATATTTAAAACATCAAAAGTTAACATACAAATAGTACCTGAAAAATATATGTATAAGGATAAACCAATAAAAAGGTAAATGTTTCTTAATTGAACAATCATATATCCTATACTCATGTATGTATATATAGTAATCCAAAACAATTATAATGTAATCTTAGTTGTTGGTCAAACAACTCTACAAAATTATATAAAAGTAGTCTCAAGCTATACTGCTATCCAATATAGCCTTCAACTTGTCAAATTCCTCCAACTTAACCTTATTTTACTCTTATATAAATATGATCATTAATCACAACAAAACATGCAAGGGTAAATTATTAATCAAAAAAATAATCATATAACAAGGATAAAAGTAAAGATGACTATACTACCAACATAGACATGTAAATCATACAATATATTACCTCATGGCCTACAACACAACAAATAACACCTCAACATGACATTCAACAATCTTAGAAGATAAACAATAGTTCCATCATACACTAACAACAATGTCATTCAATAACCAAATCATACAACATATGAACAACACCAAAATCACTACATCATCTCAAGAGAAGGTTCATAGATGAAGAGAAAACTCACAGATTCTAAAATATTTATCTTTAAATTATCTTTCTAAGATTTCTTAAGAATGAACTTGTGAAACTCAATTCTTTAAAAAAATTATATACCTTCCCCTCAGAGTTAAACTATACTTCTAATTAAAGAAATTTTATAAACGCCTAAAAATTCTAAGAAATTTATTAATTTCTATAGTCTCTCAACATCGAATCCAAAATCATCACAATACATGATTATTAAAAAGAAATAACAATTAAGAAAATGTAAGGTGTTACAAAGTGCAAAACAATTTGACAAGGCACTAAAATGCACTTTCAAAACTAGTTTTTAAAAATTGAAATGAAATTAAGCTTGGCTCACTTTATATTTTACACAATTAAATATTTTTTTTAATACAATTTAGTTTTCTACCAATTTAGGTAACTACAATTAATTTCGTTCATCCATATTTTTCTTATTAATATATATAAATTTTATAAATGTTGAGATTCCATAACTATTCGAGAGTATTTATAAAATTATAAAATAAAAAAACTAAGAATAAATGATTTTGAAACATATATTTATATTAAAAAAAATTTAAATATTTATATTTATATTTATAATAATAATATAAAATAATGTTGATATATATTTATACTTAAAATAAATTAAAGTAATTTATTTTATAGTGTGTTTACATAAAGTAATTTAAACAAAGAAATTATTTTTGAGAGAACTTTAATTTATTCTCTTAAAATATCTTATTTGGATATTTTGTTAAAAATAAATAAATTCAGTACTTTAAAAGTGTTATTTATTATAAACTAAAAATCTAGAATTCAAAATTCCCTCCCAAAATAAAAAAAATCCTAAAATTTTCTCTAACTTTTTCAAGAAGACGACCATTTTGTAAATGTGTTTAAAAATTGAATGATTGAAAAATATTTTATATAGTTTTTGTTACTATTTATTAGATATTTTTATTACATAAAATTAAATAGTTTTATATTTTTAATTTATAAATATTGATTAATATCTTAAGAATGATTAAAGAAATATTTTATAATTATTCATTAAAAAATTCAAGATTCACAAAAAAGAAAAGTTGGAATAACAACTATTAAGAAGTTTGTGCATATTAGTAAAATTAATTAGTAATAATGTTAATATTTTTTCATGTTAAATAAAATAAAATAATTATTTAATTTGAATAATATAAATTATAAAAAATAATTAATTATTTAATTTAATAAAATATTTATAAATGAAATAAATTTAAATATTTTATTCAAATATAAAATTTTACAAGAAGAAAAAAAAAAGTCTGTTAGTGGAGGAGTTCTTGAAACTCCACACCCTCGAAGCCCATCCTTGTTTGCGCCAAGCCCATTGGCAGCTCCACCAATTTGTTCACTCTGGCCCTGTTCTACTTCTCTCTGCGATACCAACAAGGTACTGTTTGCCAAAGATTGAATTTCTTCGTTCAAAACGTGCTTCTTGCACAATCATATAATTCCAGCATATGAATTTGTTAGAGTTTTCCCCCATCACTACCACACACATAATGCTATTGCCATGACAACTATGTGACATAATTCCTATATAGTCTCATTAGCTTCCTTAGTCTTGTGTTTCAATTGGAACCTCATGTTGAAATTTCATTCCCACAAGGCTTTCACTTTCGCAACCCTAAAATGGTTTCCTCTTGTGCAACTCCAATTTCTCCAGTTCCAATTCTGCACTGTCACCTCGCACCTTTCGTGGAGTCATACCTCATCAACAACTGTGGCTTCTCCCAAGAAAAAGCTCTCAAAGCTTCCCTCAAGCTCCGTTTACGCCAACCCCAGAAGCCCGATTCAATTTTCTCCTTCTTCCGTAACCACGGTTTCTCCGACTCTCAAATATGCAAAATCCTCCAAAGGGAACTCCAGTTACTTTCCTGCGACACCCAAAAGGTATTGTTGCCAAAGTTCGAATTTTTACGTTCAAAAGGTGTATCTTCCCTAGACATTGTTCGCATGGTAGATGCGAGCCCTTCATTCCTTAAAAGAAGCTTGGAGAATCATATAATCCCAGCGTATGAACATCTAAGAGGGTTCCATGAATCTGACGAGCAAGTAATTGAACTTCTGATTCGAAATCCTTCTTTCCTGTATGATGGTCGAGTGCCATCTAACTTCAAATTGTTGCTTGATTTTGGAGTTACCCACTCAAACATTGATATTTTGCTCAAGAGATGGCATAATATACTCTGCTCTAGTAACTTGTCAAAGACGGTTCAGGAATTGAAGCAAATGGGCTTCGATGTTTCAACTTCAACTTTCTGCATAGCATTGCTTGCCAAAAGGACTGTAAACAAAACCAAATGGGAAGAGAAGATTGACACTTTTAAGAAGTGGGGATGGTCCCGAGAACAAATTCTTCTAGCTTTTAGGAGGCAGCCTTATATTATGTTGTCATCCCCTGATAAAATTAATGCAGTGTTTAGTTTTTGGGTGGAGCAGGCAGGTTTCAAATCTCTGGATCTTGTCAGAGCTCCAGGAATTTTTCAACTGAGTCTCCAGAAGAGGATTGCTCCAAGGGCTTCAGTTTTGCAGTTTCTTACCTCAAAAGGTCTGCTACGGAAGGATGCAAGTCTAAGTCGACCATTTATTCTGACTGAGACGTTGTTCCTGGAAAAGTATGTGATAAGTTCTAAGGGAGTTTATTATCATATGTTAAAGATGTAAGAGGATAAAATGAGTCTTGAAAATGATAGGGACGGCACTTGTACGTAGCCTTCATCAAGTGCGCAACTTCTTAATCAAGTTTTGGTGCAAGTCAACCACCGTGTTTTATGCATCCTTTTTGAAATACTTGACCTGTCTACTGCTAAATTGTCTTCAGATTTATTATTTCTTAGGAGTTTTCCCTGCAGAAAATTGTTATTATGTTTCAGGAACAATATGTTTCATTGCACGTGATTTTGTCAAATTGCTAATTTAGCCTCCGCTAGAAATTTGTTAATTGTTTTATGGAAAATTCTTCTCATCTGTTGAAACTCTGTGGGGCAAAAATTGTCTAGAGAAAAACACGTCTCATCTTTTGAAAAGGCTTATCTCATGGGCTCAAGCTGTCCAGTATCTTCTATCCATAATTGAAAAGGTTCTCAGCTTAGTTACTCCGTTTCGATTGTCTGATTTGTTATTTTTGCAATAGTTTATGGAATGATTTTAGGAGGAAACATCTAGTATACCATGGCCATATCAGGGGACTGGGAGGATGCTAGCATCTGCATCTGGCAGTTGGTTAACATATGAAAGTAAAGTAAGCTATGGTATTTCTTCTCATTCAGTCATTCCTGTATCTGTTCTACTCCTGTCTAAATCTGGATTTGTATTAGTTTGATTGTATTGTTTCATGTGCTTAGTTGGAACCTTTTTTCCAATAAATTTACAGTTCTTATCTATGTTACATATTAGTAAGTTGATATTTTTTAAGTAATTGATCCAAGAGAAAAAATGGTTTTACTATGGAGAATAGCTTTTAAGTTATATTATTACCATCAATGATATTGCAATTGCATTTTTTAATTGATGTAAAGAACAACATAGTCAAATCACATTTGTAGCTTCTCAAATGGATTATGGTTGTTTTGTTTGTATAAAGCTCATCTCTTTGTGCACGTTGACCAATAGATCTGGAAGCTAGGATTGGATGGTGAAATGTAAAGGTTCAACTATCAAATACCAAGTACCTCTGACCAACCATGCATGATATTGTGAGATAAAACACTGAAGGGGGGATTTTTTCAAACTTTGAATAAAAGTTTAACTCTCCAAAGGTTCTTCCACCTGTCATTGTGCACAATGGTGGCTGCTGTTAGGAACCCCACGTTTCCATAGATCAAGCTTGGACAAGGGTTCTTTCAATTTGATCACAAGACCAGTGAATAGAGATCTAGATATTAGATACCCTTCTAAATAGACAACAGTAAGCTTTGGTGTAATTACCAAATACCAATAGAATCTTTCAAGCATGCTTTTAAATAGATAAAAACCCTTATAAGAGAATAATAGGCATTATAGACGAAATTTTAGAGTAGAAAGTATCGTCATGAACAAATCTTTGTGTGGAGTTTTTCACGGAATTCAGTAATATCTTTACATGATCTTCAGTTTAAGAAAGAAGTAAATTCTGGTAACAACCCATCAGATTCTGATATATATGTTAGTACTTCACTATTACTGCATCAATCAACCCGAGAATAATTTTAACCTTATCAACAGTCACAAAATCTTGTGGTGCATAAAACGAAGTCGCCCCTAACAAGATTCCAATAGACAAAGCTAACTACAAAATTAGTCCTGATCAGACGAAACGATAATGTCATCAGCATTGTTTAGATGCCCCGAATATTCATCCATGTTACAATACGGTACGGTTGACCATTATCAACAATTCATTGTCTCTCACAAACTTAATGTAATAATATATAGGTTTATGTTTTGAAACATGCTTGAAGTTTTCAACACTCGTGTTTTGCGGACGTTTCTTGTGAGGTGATGATGATTTTCTAATTCTCTTTAATAAGATCTTGAATTAATTTGATACAGTTTTATATGCAGAAAAAAGATCTCATTAAAAGATCTCGTGATATGTCATATTTATTTTTTATAAATCTAATAAAATTAATTAACATAACTATTTATATTAATACTTGCAATTTGATTAAAAGTGGCTTATCATAAACTTAAGTTAGAGTAAATAAATAAGTGGAGAGGAGATCTTTCACGATTTAGCTTATTTATTTATTATTTTACTACTACTCAATGGTGCCCGTTTAGTAGATCAAAGGAATGCATGGGGGCAGCCTATCGGTTGATTCCATCCAACGCCTTTTGCCTTTCCGCAATGCTCCATTGCTTCTTCGGTGAATAAGAAAGGTTACTCTTACGCCCACTGAACTCTGTCTAAGTACACGCTAAAAGTCTGTGGAAAAATGCTATAAAAACATTTTTGGCACACTTTTTTTATTATGAATTTAAGTTTTTTAAGACTTTTTAGATTTGGTTCTTTATGTAAGTTCTATGATTTTCTAATACATCAATTATAGAAAATTAAAGGATCTTTGAAATTCATGATACTCACATAATAATAAGAAAGTGTGTATCTTTCTCCATAGTAGAAAACTTCTTTGATCCTTAGAGTACTTTGATCTTCTTGAAAAGAACCAAGATTTCACTCCCTTTGACTTTTCTTTCTACTCTCTCTATCTTTCGTGATGGTTAGGGTTTGAGAGAATACTTTCTGTCAGGGGTGTGGACCTTGTCTCACATTAGTGGATATTTATAACTCCTAAAGATTGTTATTTCCATCAAATAACAATTATTCTCATAAATGCTCCATTAAACCCATTTATGATTTAGTCTTTAATTATTTAATTATTTATTTATTAGTCCCTTTATATATTACATATTTCTCACATGACATGAGACATAATTATTTTACATTCTCCCACTTGACTCACGTGACATTTCTCACAACGGACAAATAAATTAATTAATTAAATTAACATAATGCGCATTAAAATGGCTAAATCATTTTATACATTGGGTTCATCATAATTTCATATTTAAAAATATGAACTAATTAGAGTCATGGCGGTTGTACATCAGTTTAATCGACATAGTCTCTTCCATGTACTACAAACGAGTCTTCTTCTTAATATGATCGTTAATAAGGAGCACATAATTGGTCCAATCATTATATATTTATTCAAGATAACACATGTTTACATTACTCTAACACAAATATGCATAAAATCATAGAAAACTGGTACTCAGAAACACATCATTAATGAGCTCAAAATGTCAATCACTTAATATCAAATAAACATAATACTCAACAATCATTAGTAACAATAATGCCCATATTTTTAACATGCTCAATAAATTTTTTGGGCAGTAATCCATTTGTTAAAGGGCAAACTATCATAAGGTTTGTGCTAATATGTTCTATTGACATTCTTTGTTTCAGAACTTTTTTCTTCACGACAAAGTACTTTAATTTCATATGCTTAGCACCCTTAGAGTACTTGTCATTCTTAAATACTGCTGCAGAATTAACAAATAACATTTTCAGCGGCTTGGCAATACTGTCGACAATTCCAAGCCCTGAAATAAAGTTCTGCAACCAATTAGTCTGAATTGTAGCCTCAAAACATGCTACAAATTTAGCTTCCATAATCGATGAAGCAAAAATTGTTTGTTTTACACTTTTCCATGATATTGCTCCTCCAGCTAAAAGAAATACATAGCCAATAGTGGATTTTTTTATTTCACACATCCAACAAAATCAAAATTTGAATATCCAATCACCTTAAGGTGATTAGACCTCCTATATGTAAGCATGTAACACTTTGTTCCCTATAAGTATATCAAAACTTTCTTTGCAGCTTTCTAATGTTTCATTCCCGGATTACTTTGGTATCTTCCTAACATTTCAGCTGCAAAACTTATATCTGGTCGAGTACAGATCTGAGCATACATGATACTCCCAACAACTGATGCATACGGAATTGCTTCCATTTGTTTTCGTTCCAAGTCATTTTTAGGACATTGAGTGAGACTAAACTTATCTCCTTTCTGAATTGGAACGGGCGATGCTGAGCACTTTTCCATCCTGAATCTCTCTAGTACTTTATTGATATATGCTTTCTGAGACAAGCCTAACAGTCCTTGTGATCTATCTCGGAATATTTCTATTCCTATCACATAGCTTGCCTCGCCCATATCTTTCATTTCAAAGTTACTAGAGAGAAACTTCTTAGTCTCATGAAGAAGACCAAGATCATTAGTTGCAAGCAAGATGTCATCAACATATAGAATTAAAAATATAACTTTACTCCCACTGACCTTCAAATATATGCATCGATCAACAATGTTTTCTTTAAATCCAAAGGAAACAATGGTATCATTAAACTTTAAATACCATTGGCGGGAAGCTTGCTTAAGTCCATATATTGATTTCTTTAATTTGCACACCATGTGTTCCTTTCCTTCAACCGAGAACCCCATTGGTTGGTCCATGTAAACATTCTCCTCCAAATTTCCATTTAGAAAGGCGGTTTTCACATCCATTTGATGTAGCTCCAAGTCATAATGGGCTACTAATGCCATGATAATTCTAAAGGAATCTTTTCGTGAGACGGGTGAAAAAGTCTCTTTGTAATCAATGCCATCTTTTTTAGTAAAACCCTTAGCAACAAGTCTAGCCTTGTACCTTTCAAGGTTGCCATCAGAGTCACGTTTAGTCTTAAAGACCCACTTACAACCAACTCTCTTGCAACCTTCTGGCAATTCTACAAGGTCCCAAACATCATTTTGTTCCATGAATTTTAATTCTTCTTTCATGGCATTTAACCACTTTTCAGAATTATCACAACTTACAGCTTGTGAAAACGAAACTGGATCATTCTCATTAATACTTGAGTCAATTTCTAACTCATGTACATATACCATATAGTCATTTGAAATAGCTGGTCTTTTTTTCTCTTTGTGACCTTCTTAATACTATTTCTTGTGGTTGTTCTACAATAGGTTCATTATGAATCATGGGTTCATTATTGTGTTGCTCTTCTTCATTGTTGTTTGACACAACAGTTAGATGAACACTTAGTTTATTTCCAGAAGCATAAGTCAAAGGAACTTGCATTCTAACTTCTTTGACTTCCACTTTCCGTGGAATTGTACTCCCACTGACTTCACTATTTTCAATGAACCTTGCATTTCCAGTTTCAACAAGTCTTATACTATGATTAGGACAATAAAACATATACCCCTTTGATTTTTCTGGATAACCAATGAAATATCCACTGATTGTTCTTGCATCCAATTTCTTTTCTTGTGGATTATAAATCCTTATTTCTGCCTGACAACCCAAATATGTAGGTGCCTTAAACTAGGTGTCTTACCAGTCCACAGTTCAAAAGGTGTCGTTGAAACTTCCTTACTAGGAACCCTATTTAACAAATACATAGCAATTTTCAAGGCATACATCCACAAATATATGGGTAAAGTTGAATTGCTTAAAATACTCATAACCATATCCATTAATGTTCTATTACGCCTTTCTGATACACTATTTTGTTGTGGTGTACCTGGCATTGTATATTGAGCACAAATGCCACGTTTCTGAAGAAGTTTAGCAAATGGACCTAGGTGTTGCCCAATTTCATTATATCTTCCATAATACTCACCACCTCTATCAGATCTTACAACTTTTACTTTTTTGTCTAATTGTCTTTCTACTTCATTCAAGCAAATTTCCAAGGCATCAACTGCTTGAGATTTCTCATGCAATAGATAAACATAATCATAACGTGAATAGTCATCTATAAAGGTAATGAAGTATTTTTCCTTTCCGAAAGAATTGACATCAAAAGGACCACATATATCGGTATGCACAATCTC